ACGACAGCAACTGTTTCGTTTGTCGTGATTCTACAGTCTGGGGAGGGGGAGTATACCCCGTCTTGACACCCAGTGTCAGCTGGGTGAAAGGACCCATTTCCAAGACGGTTGGCTCTAAATCGTACGGGCTGTTCGTCTCACACGGCGCCCCCAGAGCGCTTGGGCTCTGTGCAGCGTGGGGGCCTGACCGGACGCGAGGCCGTCAGCCTTCAGGCCTGAGTCTGGAAAATGGCATCGCCCTGCGTCCTGCGTAGTCTACGGATGAAGAAGTCATAGAACAAAGACTCGAGGGGCCTCGATGGGAGAGGGTCAGAGAGCCTCGAAGGCTTGCTTAAAACCACCCCGGCAGGCTCTCTGGAAGATGAGCAGCTCCAAACAAAGGGCTCAGATGCAACGTCAGCTCTCCAGCATGGCTGCCCTGGGGCAGCGTCCAGTGACTGGGCGTGGAACATGGTCTCCAAAAGTGGTCGTGGCAATCAATACTGCCATTCTCACATGTGCTTCTAGAATATTCCCCACTTGGCCAGAACTGGAATCTCCTTCCCCTCGCCTAGAAATTGGGTGGGCTTGTGACGACCGCAGCGAGGGGTGCGGGGAAGGGAGGCTGAACAAGGCCCGAGGTTGGGGCAGACGAGGCGAGACGACTCCCGGCTGGCTGCTTCCCTCCTCCAGCCTTCCGGACACTCTCAGAGCCAGGCCCCATGGACAGCCCCCAGGAGATGTTTCAGCCAAGACCCCAAGTTACCTATGAGCCGATCTGCAAAGAAATCCAGCCCCAGCTGTGTCTTCTGGGCCCTCAGACATCAGAGAGGCCATGAACACCCCCCCCCACCACGCTGACTGTGGAGCAGCTGAAACACGTCTCCGCAGGCGGCGTCTGGTGGAAGCTGACCGGTCTGGTCCTGAAGCCGGCACCCCCGGGTGCAAACCGGAGAGCGAGGGGAGGGTTTGGAGCTAGGAAGCAGCGCGTGTGAAGCTCTGAGGCGGGGAAGGGGCCAGCAGCAGGAGGCTCAGTGCAGCCCCTGTGGGTGGGGGTGGGAGGTGCAAGGAGCCTCCTCCATCTTGAGTGCTCAGGAGTGGACCCTGGGCGTGGGCGTAAGATGGCGCGTCAGGGGGACCAGGCCCCGCAAGGCTGTGGTGGGGAGTGGGCAAGAGGCACAGTAGCAACGGGGGCCTTCTGGCTGCCTTGGAGGCCTGGCGGATGCAGGAGCAAGGGCGGACGCGGACGGGAAGGGAGGGGGATTCTGTGCTGCTGGAAGGGTGCAGGCTGATGGCCATCTCTTTGTGGCTTGGTCTTCGCTGGGTCTTTCCCTTGGGGTCTTCCCCCCTCCCCCGGAGGCACTAAAGCCTCAGCAGCCCTCAATCCCACCTTGACACACAGCCCTTGAGTCCTGAGTCTGAGTGACATGGGAGCTCCTGCTGCTGGGCTCCCTCCTGCACACAGCCAAGATGTGATGTCAGGCCCTCGGGGGCCTGCTGGGGTTACCCCTGTGGAGACCCTTTGTTGGCTGTACCTAGAAGATGGGCCTTGGGGAGGGGCCTGCTCTCCTCACAGCGCGCACCCACGGGGGAAAACATCCTCGACCCTGATTCTGGCCTTTCAGGAGCAGGAAGTGGGCGCGCCCCTGGCGTCCCACTGGAGGGACGGCCGACTCCCTGGGCCCTGCGCCAGGAGCTCCTCCGCAGCCACCTGGATGCCCCCAGGCCTCAGGGGAGATCGCCACTGGGCTTCCTCAGTATTTAAAGCTTTTTTGGTGTTTCTAGTGCAGTGATATGTCTTTGTTACCCTTTCCCAGCAGGCTGAGGGGCATCTGGGTAGCCTCCTGCTCTGAGGGGTTCAGCTGAGGGTGCTGTAGGAACAAGGGGACGGATGCTGAATGAATTCTCTAGGCCTGTGGCTCCTCCCTCTGTGTTTCCAGGGCTCCTCGCCTTCCTGTGAGAACGGCCCTTTCTCCCCAACAGACGTACCTCCCAGCACAAGCGTCTGGTGACACGCACATACCCGCACGGGGCTAACAGCCCTCGCTGTGATAGGGGCAAATCGCAGAATGAGAATGGGGGCGCCTCGCTTAGATGCCGGCCCTCGTGGCTTAGTCCCTAAGCTGCAGAGCCCCTCATTTTCTAGTTTGTTACTTAAGATTTGAGGTATACCCCCTGTAGACCCCCCCACCGGGTGGCCTCCTCACCAAACCCCATGTTAGCTGGGGGTGTGACGCTATTTTCTTGGTGCTGAGGGAAGACGGTGAGGGGGGAAGACAGTGAGGCGGCTGCAGGTTGTTGGGGCTGCCCCCCACCTGGCATCTCGGACCAGCAGCTCAGGCTGAGCTGTCCAGGCGAGCCCGGGGCCGCCTCAGGGGTCCTTCTGACGGGGCAGGCTGGCACCCCATGACCTCCAGGGGCTCTTTCAGAATTAGGCGTCTTTTTGGCAAGGCCCATGTCTACCGCGTGTCAGGCTCTGTTCTGGTTTTCAATGTTTGATCCTGTGTCATTCTCACGACAGCCTCTGAGCAGCGGAGCACGGCCCCCGTTTGCAGGGGAGGAAACCAAGGCACAGAGGTTAGGCCACTTGCCCAGACCGGAGAGCAGGGGATGGCGGAGCTGCGGCACCGGGTCACGCTGCCCCGCGGCCCAGGCCGCACTTCGGGCTCCCGGCACCTCGCGCCCCGCCCCAGCCGGAACCAGTCAGCTCCGTTCTCGGTTTCACGTTAGTCTTTTATTGCAGCCACATCGAAGGGGATCACTTAAATGTCTTAAGTCAGGACGAATTGGAGCATAAAGATGAATGAGAACAAAGCAACAGGCCAGCCACGGCACCGCCGAGCAGCCCCTCCATCAAGTGGACTGTGCCATCGTGAGGAGCCTCGTGACCACTGTGACGCCAACGTGGCCCCAGGCCTGTTTACAGGAACTTTCTATCTTTTTAACACCAACAAAAGAGCTTTAGAAAGTGACACGGAGGAAGCGGTTTGGGCCTGCGAGAAGGAGGCCCGGCTCGCCAGCCGCCGTCCTCACCCGCCGCACCCGGGCCGCGGCCTCAGCAATGTCCTGCTGCGGACACGCGGGGGACAGATGGGCGTGGGCGCCCCGGGACAACCACCAGAAACGGGACCCAAGTCCGCCCCCCCCACATGCTCTCTTTGTGGGAATCCCCGGGGCAGCTTCCTGAAGAAACACAGAATGAAGACGGAAACAAGAAATCTGGGACGACCCGAAGGGGTGAGCATCGAGAGCCGCCCTCCCCGGCGGAGCTTCTAACTCTTCCCGGTCTCTGGCGACGCAGAAGGGACATTCCCGTTCACACAGGCGGGCAGAGCCCGGGAGGACGGAGCGAAGGGTTCAAACTCCATCATCCGCAGAGAAGGCAAGTCACAGGCCGGGCCTGGCTGATCTTCAGTGGCCTCACTGCAGGGTGGTCGTTTCTTACCAGCTGGCAGCCGGCGGGGAGCACGAGCAGGAGGGCATCTCGGGAGACGGACAGGTCTAGTGTCATGAGACGTGTGACGTGTTCCAGGAGCCCGGGGCTGGCGCACAGGTGAGGCAAAGTCATCCCCGCTGCCTTTCTCTGCTCTCCAGCTCTCACCGAACAGAGACACATCCGGATGCACATGCCCAAGCGGGTCAGAAGGAATGCATGAGACACAGGGACATGTATAAAGAAAGTAGATGACAATGAGAAATAATCTAGTCGTGACGTATATAAAATATATTTAACTGCTAATCATCAAAACATGAGCGGGCGCCACTGATTACATTTGTTAAAAGAAAGCAAAAAGGTTTCATATATTCAGAATTTTTTAAAAAAGTGCAATTAAACGTAAGTACCCAATAAAAATCATGAAAGGAATAGATATTCTGTCACGGCACTGTAACTAATAAAAATGCAAATGCTCAACTATGAAGAGAAAAAAGTCACTTAAAAAAAAAAAAAGGAACTAGAGTAATGCAACTCTCTAACCCCGAGAGCCTGCGGGGATTTGAGGGTGGCACTGCCCACACCCCACTCTCCCCTTGCTTGTTTCTTTCCTTGAGGAGGAAGCAGCCTGCTGGGGGGCACAGAAGCAGCACCTCTGAGGGACCCCACTGGTTCTCACACGACGCTGACGTGGAAGCACAGCACGCAGGATGAGCCCCAGGCCCCGGCCCCAGAGCTGGTGTCCAGCTGGGCAGCCTGGGGTGTCCAGAGGCTATCGCGGGCCCGTGACCTCAGCTCTCCTGACTCTAACCCTCCGGGCGAAGGAGACGCTGGAGGTGGTGAAGACGGTGGTCCCGGCCGGTCTGTCCCGGGGCCCACCAGACTGAAAGTACCAACACCTGCGCAAGCCAGGCGCTTCGAGACGAGTCCCGGGGGCACCTGAGAGCTCATGAGTGCGCTTGGGGAGACACAGACTTGGCAGCACCTCAGGGAGTCTCCCCAAGAGCGCTGAGCGATGCGCTGTCAGGACGGGGTGCGCTCACCAGCCCCCCCCCGTCGAGCCATCGTGGGAGGCCCAGCAACCCTGTTCCCTGAGCAAAACCAGTTGTTATTCACCCTCCACGCCGCTGGGTTGAGGAGGCCTCTCTGCTGGAGCTAATTAGAATCCTCTCTGCAGCCGCTGACTCTCCAGTTGTCACTGTTTTCTTGGAGAGCGCGAGGGAGGTCACGTCCTCCCCATACTGTCTCCAGAGAGGCAGGCAGCGGGAGAGGCAGGCAGCGGGAGAGGCAGGCAGGGGGAGAGGCTGGCAGTGGGAGAGGCTGGCAGCGGGAGAGGCAGGCAGGGGGAGAGGCTGGCAGGGGGAGAGGCTGGCAGGGGGAGAGGCAGGCAGCGGGAGAGGCAGGCAGGGGGAGAGGCAGGCAGGGGGAGAGGCTGGCAGGGGGAGAGGCAGGCAGGGGGAGAGGCAGGCAGGGGGAGAGGCTGGCAGGGGGAGAGGCAGGCAGGGGGAGAGGCAGGCAGGGGGAGAGGCTGGCAGGGGGAGAGGCAGGCAGGGGGAGAGGCTGGCAGGGGGAGGGGCTGGCAGGGGGAGGGGCAGGCAGGGGGAGAGGCAGGCAGGGGGAGAGGCTGGCAGGGGGAGGGGCAGGCAAACCCTCTATGTTTCTTCCTCCTTTGTTTGTCACCTGCTGCCATGAAAGCTCCCGTGGCCCAGAGGCCTCGCCATCCTCAGCGGAGAGGCCACAGAACCGGCACCCACTAGAATTCTTGCTCAGGCAAAGGGAAGGAAAAGGTCCTTTTCAGGACTGTCCTCCTGAAGGGAGGAAATGGGGCGTGGGGGAGCTCTCTGTGCTGCAGCCCAGGAAAGCACCACATGTCAGACTGGGACCTGCCCTGGCAGTGGTGCCTGGGCTGCAACAACGGAGCCAGGCCCTGCGGCTCCTGCTCGTAGCTCCAGCCAGGCAAGGGCTGTGTAGAAATCCTGCAGCCTCCCGACATCTGGAATGTTCTCTCAGGAGCCCAGCTCCCCGAGAAGAGACTCCAGGTTTAATTTCCTGTTACTGCCACCTTGAGGCCAAGGGTGGGGGGCGGATTCTGACTCTGAATGGGAATGAACTTGGGTTTTCTCTTTCTTCCTCAGTTGATGGTAAATACAGTCCCCAAGCTACAGCAACCTTACCAGAACACCCACTGTCTGAAAGATATTTACCCCATAAAGTGGAGGTCACACTTCCCAATTCAAGAAGTAACATTCTTATAACTTTTGAAATCAGTGCAGCAAAGATTGGCTTAGAGTGACCTTGTTTTTCTGGCTGTAAAAGATTCTAAAAGGTGAGCAACAGTTGTTTTAGGAGGGACAGTGTGGAGCAGTCTGTCCGGTATGAGGTGAGGAGATTTGTTCTTTAACAAATGAAATCTAAACTCATCACACAGAACTGTGATTCCTAGGTTTAGGCCCTGCTTCTAGAGACCGTTACAACTTTCTCAGAGGTCAGTACTGTGTTTCCACTAGTTCTGGAATCCACTAGGTCTAGTTCTTTCTAGTGCATTGGGCTCTGCGATATGGCTTCCCAAGGTTGAGATACAGATTTCCAGAAATGAAGGTTTTTCTTGATATCAATTAATTTTCCTACGCCTGATGTTCTGAGGGAGGTGAGATTTGAAACCAACTCTTCTTTCTTCTAGATGCTATTGATGGAGTTGCCACACCTTAGTTGGGGAGGCACGGACAGAGGAAAGCGATTCTAATTGTGGTTGTGTTTTTCTGACAGTGAGCGTGATGCTCAATATTAACCAGCTCTAACTCAGAGCAAGGGTAGGTGGGGGTCAGTAAGGGCCCAACGAACACCAGTCTGTGTGCTCAGTGGCCCCATTTGCCTCTCTCTAATGGGGTCCAATGGCTGCCCCAATGCCACATGCACGCCGGGAAAGAAGTGTTGGTTTCAGAAGGGCCTCCACTGGGGAGCCTCAGCCGGGCCTTGGGGCCTGCTGAGAGGGGTGGCAAGGCCCCTGGGCGCAGGACTGGGGCACTGTGGTCAGATGTCCAGGGGGCTCACAATGGTGAAGCCGGAGTCCTTGCTGTGGTTGCTGCTGTCGTCGTCAGGACTGGAGCTGGGGTTGCTGGAGGAAGCCGAGGCAGGGCCCATCAGCGGGTCAGAAAACACCAGTGGGGAGCGGGCCAGGGCCTCGCTTTTCCTGGATGTGCTTCTGAGGGTGCGAAGAGGCTGAGCCTGCCCGGAGAACGGTGCCCCAGCAGTGCCCCCATCATCTTCTTTGGAAACCAGGATGAAGTCGTCCGAGCTCCCTCCGTCTGTGTGCCCTGGCATTTCTGTGGAGGCCTGTGAAGCAGAGCACGAGAGAAGAAACCAGTGAAATGAAAGGACCAGGTGGTGGTCCTGTGGGCTGGGGACTGCCCCGTGGAAGTCGGGGCCACTTCGCCCCATGCTCCACCTTGGGAGACTCCGTGTTTGGGCCTGTGGCTTTGAAGCCAGGCACTTCTCCGTGGCGCAGGGCCAGGCCCTCTGAAATGGAAGGTGCTTTCCTGGGAGAACAAGACAACCTGCTGCTGGATGAATGTTGAGCGCAGCCAGCTCCGGAGTCAGCTGGGAGGCTGCAGACGGAATACTGGTAGGACCTGCCCTGCCAATCACAAATCTTCCCGGAAGCTGTGTTCTGATGTCCATGACCTGGGGACAAGGACAGCATCTCTGCCCTAGTGTGTGGTCGCCGAGCAGAGGAGCAGAATGTACGAGGTGAGCCGCCCAAGCCCCGTGACTCCACTACTCAGAAGCTAGCTTGTTAGGAGGGCCCCCGCAGTTCATCATATCGCTACCTCACAGCCAGCTCATCTTGGGTATGTGCTTGGGAGCCCCCTGGGACATGGTGGTGACCCGAAGGTTCTATAAACATAAACCAGGAATGGTAATTGCGGAGTAGAATGGCAAAAAGCACAGAGATGGAATTGCTGTAGCTGACATTTTTCCTTTCTTCCTATGCGATTATAAGTAGCCTTTGGGTTTTTTCTTTTTAAAGATTAATTTATTTATGCATATAGGAACTGGGGTACAGGCCAGAGGTGTGGAGGATGAAAGGGTTCACCAGAGACAGAGTGGGGAACAGAACAGGCAGACTGACTGAAATACACTGCGGAGGGGGCAGCGGGCGAGACAGGAGAGGTCTGCTGCGCCATGTGAGTTGCTCCCTGGTTGGGGATTGAATCCGTTGCAGTGGCTGTGGAGAGCCTCATAGGTCACGTCTTAACCCCTTGCACCACCAGGGAGACCCGCCTTTGGGTTTTTAAATGAAGAAGCTGACATCCATGAATAGTGGTAAGGTTCTGGGCTAAAACCAGAGAAGAAGGAAGTAGAGTCACCTTCTGACCATGGAGGACCCAACGACGGCCTGGCAGAGAGAGCTTGTCCCCAGAGCTGATGTAGGCTGAGGCCCCAATGGCATGGGGCAGGAATGGGGCAGGGAGCTGGTGTGGGGCCTGAGGTCTCCTCAGATGTACAGAGCCCCTTGGTTGGAAGTGTCCCTGGATCCACTGGTCTCTAGACTGCGATGGCCTAGGCCACTGGTGGGCTGTGGACAGGCCTGGAAAGGCAGTCGCCAGCCTTCTGAGGAAAATCTGGGCCCAACGGACAGACCCCTTTTGAATCTCCTGTTCTCTAAATAATGGCTCAGGTACATCCCCACTCTTACAATTCATCTGCCTTTTAAAGTCATGCAGATGGAGAACAGAAATGGAATTTGCCCTTAAGATCACGCATACTATCAGCATACTACCTCCTACAAACCCAAAGAGCTACAGTACGTGGCCCCTGGCAGAAGGAGACATGAGCACAATGGCACTAAGGTGGCTGGAGGGAGAGACTGTCCTTGTCCATCCTGGTTACTGGCTCTCACAGGGTGCACCTGTCACGTTTAAGGAGGCTTAGAAAGACATCTCGTGGCTTCTCCTCCCACACAGATGCACATGGACAAAAATTTGTTCTGCATAGGAACTCAGTCTGACCTCTGACCTCCAAAGTCTGGTTCATCTGACCGTGGCTCTGTAGTGTACACTGTGACCATCTGATCTCTCACACCACACAGCCTGCTCAGCAGAGCTTATCTGGGGTTGAAAATAAAAGGCGCATGCAGAGTGGGTGCTACTTGTAGAAACGGTGTTTCTACTACAGAATGCCAAGGTCACCTGGGGTCCTCTGGTTCAGAGTGAAGAATTAGCAACACTTTGCAGAGAAGAAACAGGTTACAAAGTCTGTGACTAGAAGTGAGGATGGTTCCTATCATTTTCACCACCTGCCATGGTTCTGGAAAAATGGTGAGGACAAGTTTTTATTACTCATGACTGAAGAATGTAAGTGCCTGTGCCGCCCAGTGTGTTCACATGACATGGTTCATCAGAGCCCTGTACCTGAGCGGAGGCCCTGGGCACCTGGCCGCTCTGGCCCTGGCCACTGGAGCAGTAGTGGTCGTCCGCGATGGTGATCTGCTCGTTCTCCTCGGCTTCCAGCTGGCTCTGGTTGAAACGCAGGGAACCTTTTAGAATGTCTTTGATCTGTTTTCAAAGAAGAAGAAAAAAATAAAGATGAATGAGTCTATCTTTACGTGCTAGCTAACCCTCTCATACATTAAACTAGACTTGGCATTGGTCATTTTTTAATAAAATGGATATAAACATCATAACAAAGAATTAATAGAAAGAAGAGCCAGCTTTATCAGATCCAGCTTTATCAAAGTTCATGCCTTTTTAATGACCAAGGAAAACGTCTCAGTGGCCAGTTCCTCACAGGATCAGACACAGGGCGGGTTGAGTCCTTGGCAGTTAACTTAGAACAGGCAGCACCATGTGCCCACACGCATGGTCCCACACGCACCCCGGGCTGCTAACATGGCTGCACCCAGCTGTGAACAAGGTGGCGACATCTGAGAGCAGCGTGCCCTTTCCGTTGACATTATGTTCTGCTTCTCCCTTCCAGGGCTGAGTCAATGTGGCCTTGAGGGTCTGAGGCCCGCTGTTTGTAGTGGTGACGACGTGTGCTCCAAGGACTTGCGTGTTCATGGGCAGACGGGTGAGCACACCGCTGGAGCACACCAGCCTCGGGAGAGGAATAAACGTGTCTGGGAAGAGGAAGGGCAGGGCTGGGAGCTGAGAACCCACTTGGGCTGTGAGCTTGTCAGACGTAAGCACTAGAAAGAGCGAGGGGTGTAAGGAGGCGGGGATTCAGGAGGGTTTCTGTGTGGGGGGAAATAAGGGAGCAGGGGCTCTAACAGCCTGGTTGGGGGGTATTCTCCCAGGAGGGGCCAAAAGATTGGCATGGGGGACACAAAAAAACAACAAACATACCTGTTTTAATCCTGCCAGAGAAACCAGAATTTGATCTTCTTTTTCCAAATTTTCTTGTAGTATCACACCTTGAATATTTCCTAAAAACAGAAGAATGACATTTATAACTAATGGACTGAGCGTAACTTACCTGCGCTCACACCACTACTTCAGACAAGTGTGGGCGTTTTCCTGCCAAATTTCATAGCCCCTCTTCTGACCAAGGATGCCCGCCAACCTGTAGGCGGGGAGCAGAGCTGGACCACACGCCTTCCTGCCACACGACACGGATGTCCTTATAATGACAGATGTGACTTCCCTTCACGCAATGACCAGGGCGCTTCTTGCTGACCTATAATGTGGTCAGCAGCCTCGAGCTTTCCTTCAGCCCCCAGGATGAAGCTTCTCACTGCCTTAGTCCAGTTATGTTAACGCACCTTTCTAACCAGCTTCCCCCAGGTGACTGAAGCTTATTAGCTGTTTCTTAAGGATTCAAGCAGTAAAGCATGTCACCCATTCACTGTAACGGTAACAACGAAAGGATAAAACAATGAAAGGCCTGACAGGTTGCTGGCAGACAGCAATGCCCAGCGCGTCAGTCAGCATGACTGACTGGGCCCTCCCAGGGGCGGTTTCTCCAGGAACTGAGGAGGCTTAGCCTGCACAAGAGAAGTTCTTCCTCCAAAGCTGATTGGAGGGACCCACTGCCAGCCACAAGGTGTCCCAGTGTCTACGCAGGATGCCCAGTCCATGCCTGGCCCCTGCCACGGCCAAAGCTACCACCTCATTGTCCCTTGTCCCTGCGGCTAGCGGGAGAGAGACCCAGCACGCTGTTCCCTTGGCCTCAGGCTCTGCCTCCAAGTCCCTGCAAATCCCTCCAAATCCTTGGCTTCTCCCCATTGCTCAATTCTCAGAGCAGTTTCCCGGCCCGCCCGCTGAAGAAGCCCGCCTTCCAGGCCACCTCCGTGGCTGCCAGTACAGGAAGCACTCGCTCCATCTGACATGCACACGCGTCTGCTGGCTTAGCTGCTGGGCCTCTCCCCCAACAGGATATAAACTCCAAGGTGGCCTTGCTCAGGTTTACACTCGCGCTCTTAGAATAACGCCTGGTGCACTGCAGGTGCATCAGCATTCATGCACTGACGGAATGGAGGAAAAAAAAACATGACCAACACTCTTGGCATCTGCATTTCAAAACTCTGCTATTCTAAGTATTTCCAAAAAAGTATTTCCAGTTAGGGGCAAGACAAAGACCGACACCACCATGAGTCCAGCCTGACAATTCATTAGAAACTTTAAGAACAGTAACTCTATAAACCATGCTGGCAACTCCTCTGACGTGCCCCACAGAAAACAGCAAGTTATTTATTCAGCAAGCGTGACTGTCGTTTCTGGCTACTAGAGGAGCCTGCTCCAAAACAAGAAGGCAGGATGAATGGGAATAGGATAATAGATATAATTAGAGAGCCAATGTTTTTGGTCTCCTTAAGCGCCTGTAACAACTTGTTCTCTCCCCCAAAAGAAACAGCAACACAAAATCTACTCAACAAGACACGAACAACCACCCACTGTAGAAAGCGGACAAGCGCGGTTCTCTAGGCCTTTCAGGGGACCCAACAGGTTACTTTTGTTTTTATGACTGCTATGGCCTTTGAGACAGTCCTGAAGGGAGGAGAGGCAGCGGAAAAACTTCACTGTGGGCCTTTGCTTGGACGACACGGTTAACCCCTAAGAGACCGAGCTGCCGCTGACGGGCAGGGTGAAGCGGTGGATGGCGGCTGGCTGGGAATGGAACTTGAGAGCAAGATCTCCGCACCCCTGAGAACAGGCCTGTGGACCTCCTCTCCCAGCACACACGTAGCAGTCTCCTCTGGGACACTTGCAGAGTCATACTGGGAGTGTGGCCTGAAACTCCTGTCTTCTCTTGGGCGGCCTGTGCTGCTGTGAGTCTGCCACAAACCCGTACACCACAGTGCTGGTGGGTGATGCTCGCAGGGCATGTTGGAAAGGGGGGTGGTGGTTGAAAAGAAGGGTGGCTGAAGAGAAGGTGTGTCGGGAAGATGTCTGTTAGTACAGGCCTGCGTGGGTTTATAAAGCCCGTGTTCTTCAGCCCACGTACCCAGCAGCCACCAGGCCCAGATCCTCATCATCGCTGCACTGCTCATGGGTCTCTAGTGGCGGCAGAGCTACTGGGGGCAACCCCAAGTCCACCCTCCTCTCCTCCCTCACCACCACAGCCAGATTTATTCAGGGCGGGCAGCGAGCACCCCCCTTTGCAGCCAACACTGGTGAGTGCAGCGGCTCCGGCTCTGAGGTGCAAGACAAGTCCCTGGATGGCGCTTTTGGAAAGCTCCTCCTGGGGGTCTGACTCAGTTTGTGCCATTTGAGCTTCCTTTCTTCCCCCTTCTGCTGCCTGGAGAGCTGGCAGGAGCTCTAAGAGTCATCTTGCAGCAGGGGGGAGAAACAGCGCTGAGGGAACCGCGGGCAGCCAGCCAGGAGCCGGGGACCTGAGGGCGTCCTGGAGCTGCTGCGCCTGCAAGGCCTGCCCACCTCTGGGCTGCGTTATTTTGAGAAAAAAAAAATTAACTTCCTGATTTTTATTCTTTTTTTTGGGGGGGGGGGTTTAGATTTATGTTGGTAGCAGCTGTATTTGTTTCAAAGTACTAAACGTTGGGTGGCCTAGAAAAAATTATTCTCAGTTCTGGAGGCTAGAAACGCAGCCAAGGTGTTTGCAGGCTCCTGCAAACACTCCCTGAAGGTCCTAGGGAAGAATTCTTCCTGGCCCCTCGCTAGCTTCCGGTGTTCTGGAAAACTGCCACTCTGGCTTTGCCTCCATCGTCACGAGGCACTCTTCCTGTGTGTCTGTGTCCAAATGCCTCTCACTGGATTCGGACCGACCCTCATCAGGATAACCTCAGCTCAACTTGCGATTTCCACAGCAGGTCACTTTTAGAAGTTCCAGGTGGACGTGAACCAGGGGCGGGGGACATTCGACCCAGCACCATGGCTAAACGGCCTAATAGTTACACAGGATGAAAACCATCCAGTTCCTCTAGTGCAAGGGACCAAGGCAGCACCCCTACCCTCTCAGCGAGCAGAACAGGATTGCAAATTTCAGGCGGGCTCTGGCCTCCTACGCAGCGTGGGCAGCGGAGGGCCAGTGCCGAGTGGGTGCACGGGGAGGGAGAACAGCCCTTGGCACCATCAGTGATGTCTCCTCACCCACAGATCTTCAACCTCCTTGTCGTGGGCAGGCTTGCAGACCACCTGTTAGAATCTGATGAGAGCCACAACCTTCTCCCCCGAAAACCCACGTAAAATGTTTACTTAACCTTAAGGATAAACCTGTTATGATCAAATGAGCAAACTAGTTTCACTTAAAGTAATCCAGGCAGAAAAGTCCTAGAGCAAAAGGACACCTTCAGCACCTAGTAAATGTTTTGATCATAAGAATTTTTGTTTTACTGACAAAGTTGTGACCATGTGAGTTCTTCGCATAACCAGTTTCACTGTATAGTGATTTAAGGTAGGATTTCTGAACACTTTACTGATACAAAGCCTCTCAATAACACATCTTAAGTATATTACAACTCCATTTAAAAACAGAAAAAAACATAACGATGTCTTTTCATGCCCTAAAATATTAAAGACAGAAATATGAAATGCTTATATTTCAACGTAACACACATTTTCCCTTATAGCAAGAGGCAGAATAAAGTTTGATCTAAAGGCTTTTGTTTTGTTTCCGTGTAGAAGGAAGATTATGTTCTTTAGAATCTCCTTATAATGAAGTCTTATGTATTATAAATGTTGGAACATTGAGACTAAAGGGGAAACCGCACCTAACTCACCACTTCTGTGGAAATTACACACAAATCTCATCAACAGAACAGCCCCACGGTGGCTCCACTACTGTGAATGACATATCAGTGCCACAGAAATAGATCTCTAACTCTAAGGGTGGCGGAAATAGCACAAAATTGCCTTTTCAATTTCTTAAAAACCTTATTTTCTTCAATGCAAGAATAAAAGTACTTTGATTTAAATGAAAAGTATTTTGATTTTGATTTAAATGGTTGGCAAAAGCGGTTATGCAAGCCCAGCAGAAAGGGGACAGAAGCAGAACTGACATCTATCTAGGGTGGAGGTGGAATTGGCAAGTTCTTTAACCCCTGGGGAAGGGGTAAGCATGGTACCTTCCCAGAGGGTTCCAGTGAAGAATAAATAAATCAGCACGGCACCACACCCACCATAGTAGCTCAGGATCCAGTAGCTACGTGACCACATCACCTCACCTGAGTACTCCAACAACCTTTCCAGAGGGAGACCAGCACCTTCCCATCAGGGAAGCGCGAGTCAGGGTCAGAAATGCCAGCTCTGCTACTAGAGGTCTCCCCACTGGAAAGAGGGGGAGCAGGATTAGATTCCAGGTCATCTGACTCCTGAGCCCGCTGCACGATCATGCATAAGGTGCTGGTGAGGGGCTGGAGAAACAGAGAGGCACAGGACAGGGCCTGTGACTTGGCACTGACTCGACTGCCTTGAGCTGCCAGTGCCCCTTATTATTTGGAGGTGGAACTGACCTAGGTGTGGTCAGCCAGCGAGTGGAGGTCATTTATATGCAATCGAACTGCCCACTCATTTCTACCAGGTCTTTCGGGGCACTGGCACCCGTATCAAGCAGTGTGGACTTTGATGACCTTGGCCTGGGTTGTTGTCTGCGTGTCACTAAGCCTGTCAGTAAGATGGGGTGACATTTGTCTCAGAGGGTTGCTGGGGATCAGATGAGGTCTTCAAAGTGGTCCAAGTCAACCATTCTGCTTCACGGTTACTATCAGGGCCTTGGATGTTTACTCTGCGGTACCTTATACAGCCAAGCAGATTCTGCCGTCTGAGGCTCTCTCCACTCTGTGGGAGAGGGAGTTATCCTGACCCCTGACAAGCTCATATCAGGGACTGTCCCAGAAGCTAAAGAGGAAATATGGAGGCTATTATGAAACAGAAGGGTCACAGGTGGTGTTGGGGGCTGTGTGCCCAGAATGGTGGTGGTTGAAGGGGCGCAGCAGGGCAAGGCATGTGATTTGTCACTATTGGCTTTGGC